TTGTGCAGAATGAGCTTCACCTACAGACAGTTTGCTGATGGAAAAACCAAATCAGGAGGTCAGAATGCACCGGCATGACAATAACTCTGTGACTGGCTCTGGGCAGGTGGACACTGTGTGTGAACAATACAGAGGCAGAATGGCTCCAAACTAAAAGACACAAGGTCTCTCTCTCTCTCTCTTTCACACATGCTCCAAGCAGTGAAATAACAAAATCCTGGAAGACAGTTCGCTGTTCTCTCCCACTACCTGCTGTGAGCAATTACATCTAACAAGTGACTCAAAAACTGCACAATTACTGTGTCAACCGCCCTGTGTCTCCAGCGAAGAGCTGCAGGAATCTGGAAATTAGGAGATCTGTAAGCAGAAGGTCTTGTAAGGAACAGAAGTTCCCGTGGACGAGTGGTTTTGAAACTGGTTCCCAAGATTGTGTTTTGCCCCCATAACATGTCAAATTTTTGTTTGTCTATGTCAACTCTGTATGTGTAGAGAGTTCAGAAGGATGTTGGACTTACATCTGGTAATGTTAAATGTTAGTAATTCACAGTTTTGTATCTGTGTGGTTTAACTTGATGTGAATGGTAATAAATAGTAGCTCTTGCTAAATACAGAAACCTGGTTGGTGTCTTCTGTTAACCTGAACCCATCAGGCAAGTAAATTGAAGCACTGTGAGAGATTTGATTAAATTCTTCACTCCTATGATAACAACATTAGTGGGTCATGAGCATCAGTACACTTTTCCAGCTGGGTCATGACATTTTGATATGGCAACTTAACAAATGTCTTCTGGAAATTCAAGTGCAATATCTCAACTGGTTTGTCTTTATCCAAAGCACACTTTACTTAGAGTCATAGAGCTATACAGCACGGAAACAGACCCTTCAGTCCAACTCATCCATGCTAACCAGACATTCTAAATAAATATAGTCGCATTTGCCAGCATTTGGCCTGTATCCCTCTAAACCCTTCCTATTCATGTCCCCATCCAGATGCCCTATAAATGTTGTAACTGTACCAGCCTCCACCATTTCCTCTGGCAGCTCATTCCATACATGCACCACCCTCTGCGTGAAAAAGTTGCCCCTTAGGTCCCTTTTAAACCTTTTCCCTCTTACCTTAAACCTATGTCCCTCTAGTTTTGTTCTCCCCTAGTCTAGGGAAAGGTCCTTGGCTATTCAGCCTACCCATGCCCCTCATGATTTTATAAACCTCTAAATCAGTTTTCACAGTGGAAGACACCAGAAGCAACTAACCAGAACTTCAACAGAGTCAAGGGGCAGTGATGAGTGCAGTGGCCATCACTAAGGAGAAGGTATTGGTGAGGCTGAAAGGTCTGAAGATGGATAAACCACCTGGACCACATGGACTACACAGTTCTAAAGGAGATAGCTGAGGTGATTGTGGAAGCATGGGTGGTGATCTTTCAGGAATCACTGAAGTCAGGAAGGTCCCAGAGGATTGGAAAGTGATTAATGTAACACCCCTATTTAAGAAGGGAGGTCTGGTTAGCCTGACCTCGGTTGTTGGTAAGGTTTTAGAGTATCATTAAGGATGAGATTGTGGCGTACTTGAAAGTGCATGGTGAAATAGGGCTGAGTCAGCACGGCTTTGACAAGACGAGGTCATGCCTGATAAATCTGTTAGAATTCTCTGAGGTGGTAATGAGCAAGTTAAACAAGGCAGACCCATTGGACGTGATCAATTTGGATTTCCAGAAGACCTTTGACAAAATGCCATGAGGAGGCTGCTAAACAAGATAAGAGCCCATGGTGTTAATGGCAAGGTACTGGAATAGATAGGGATTGGTTGACTGGCAGAAGGTAGAGAGTGGAGATAAAGGGGTCTTTTTCAGGACAGCACCTGGTGACTAGTGGAGTTCTGCAGGGTTCCATGTCGGGACCACAACTATTCACGTTATACATTAATGATTTGGACAAAGGAACTAAGGGCACTGTTGTTGTGTTTGCAGATGACACAAACATAAGTGGAGGGAGAAGTAGTGTTGAGGAAGTGGGGAAGCTGCAGAAGGACTCAGACACGCTAGGAGAGTGAGCAAAGAAAGGGCAGATGGAATACAATGTGGGAGGTGCAAGGTTATGCACTTTGGAAGGAAGGATAGCGGTGTAGACTATTTTCTAAACAGGGAAAGACTTTGGAAATCTGAAACACAAAAGAACTTGGGAATCCTAGTTCAGGATTATCTTAAGGTTGTGATGCAGGTTCAGTGGCAGTTAGGAAGTCAAATGGAATGTTAGCATTCATTTGAAGAGGGCTAGAATGTAAGAGCAGTGATGTACTGCTGAGGCTATTTAAGGCTCTGGTCAGACTGCATTTGGAATATTGTGATCAGTTTTGGGCCCCATTTGTGAGGAAAGATGTGTTGGTGTTGGAGGAGGTCCAGAAGTAGTTTACAAGAATGATTCTGGGGATGAAGGGCTGGTCATATGAGGAGCAGTTGAAGACTCTGGGTCTGTACTTGATGGCGTTTGGAAGAATGGGGGGGATCTGATTGAAACTTACCAAATACTGAGAGGCCTGGATAGAGTGGATGTGAAGAAGATGTTTCCACTAGTAAGAGAGACTAAGATGTGACAGCACAGCCTCAGAGTGAAGGGATGGCCCTTTAGAGCTGAGATGAGGTGGAATTTCTTCAGCCGGAGGGGGGTGAATCTGTGGCACTCATTGCCATAGAGGGCTGTGGAGGCCAAGTCATTGAGTATTTGAGACAGAGATAGATAGGTTCTTGATGGATAATGGGATCAAAAGTTACGGGGTAAAAGGCAGGAGGATGGGATCGAGAAATATAATCAAACATGATTGAATGGTGGAGCAGACTTAATGGGCCAAATGGCCAAATTCTGCTCTATATCCTCTGGTTCTTATGATCTGACTAACACCTTCCTTTAAAACCCTAGAATCAGGTCCATCAGGATCTGGAGACCTGTCGACCCAGAGTTCCAACAGTTTGCTCAGTAACACTTCCCTGGCGACTAACTTTCTTGAGTTTCTCTCTCTCTTCCATTTCCCAACTTACAGCTAATCCCAGGATGTTACTTGTATCTGCTGTGGTGAAGACTGATGCAAAATCTCTGTTCATTTAAACTGCCATCTCATTTTCCATTGCCAATGTCCTAAACTCACTTTCTATAAGACCAACACTCATTTTATTAACTTATTTAAAATTTCTGGAAAATTTGTATTTTCTGTTTGCACTATTTCTATCTAGCTTGTTCTTGTACTGTACTCTATTCCTCACCCCTTTAATAATCTTAAAATTTCATACTATCTTGAACATTTTAATTTAGGAAGTGCGTCCTCTCCTTGGAATTTGGGGGCAGGCTTGGGGGTAGTATGGTGGCTCAGCGGTTAGTACTGCTGCCTCACAAACCAGAGACCCAGGTTTGATTCCACCCTCGGGCAACTGTCTGTGTGGAAATTCAGTTCTGAGGAAGGGTCACCGGACCTGAAACATTAACTCTGTTTTTTCCTTCACAGATGCTGCCAGACCTGCTGAGCTCTTCCAGCAACTTGTTCCAACCATATGCAGGTTAGGTAGATTGGCCATGGTAAGGTTACAGGGATGGGGTGGAGGGGTGGGTCTGGATGGAATGCTCTTTGGAAGGTCGGTGAAGATTTGATGGGCTAAATGGCCTCTTTCTGCACTGAAGGGATTCCATAATTATGTGAATTTTCCATTCTCATTGGAATGTATTTGTTCTATTCTGAAATATCCCCATATATAGGCTATAACATCTCTACTGACTTAGCCTTCAACCTAATTTACCGGTTCATTTCAGCTGGCTTTATTTTCATGCCCCAGTTGAAAACACCAGTCTTGGGCTCAGTCTTCTCTCCCTCAAACTGAATATAAAATTCAATCATATTATTGTTGCTGCTACCAAGGTGCACTTTCACGATGAGGAAATAAAGTATAACTATCCCATTGCTCAATACCAACTTTAGTATAGCCTGTTTTCTGATTGGTTCTGGAGTTTGCTATTCTAAGAAACCATCCCAAAAACATTTTCAGAGCTCTGCATCTCAACCATCTTTGTCCATCTGATTGTTCCAGTCTATATGCAGATTAATATCTTCCGTTAGTATTGCTGTGTCTTTCTGACAATCTCAGGTTAGAGGAATGTCCCAGAGTTTGGAATTCTACTGGACAGAGCTCTGAACAATTAGCTTGTGATGTTGGTCATCAAGATTAAGAATGCAGAAACTCACCATGGGTCCTCAGACAGCACCTTCCAAATCCACAACCACTTCCAGCTAGAAGGACAAGGGCAGCAGCACATACACAGGAACACCATCCCCTGCAAATTCCCCTCCCAGCCACTCACCCTCCTGACTTTGAAATACAGCACCATTCCTTCAGTGCTGCTGGGTCAAAAACCTGGAATTCCCTCCCTAAGGACCACTTTCTGAAGGTGGTAATTGCTGCTCAGAAAGCAATAAACAGAAAGTTTCAGACAAGAAACAAACTCAGAGAGAGAAAGAGAAAACAGAGAGAGAGATGAGAGAGAGAGACCAAGACAGGAGTTTGACATGGCCATAGAAAGAGTGACAGAAAAACACAAACTGAGAGAAAGACAGAAAATGATATGAAGACAGGCAAGTCCTATTTCTTTTGCTCTGTTAGTTCATAAGCTGATGCTTTAGCTCTTGGAAAGAAACCAATGGAATGTCTCGGCCTCAGCTCAGCCACTGACAATGCTGGATCCTGGGCACATCTCCCTCACCTTTCGAGGTGTGACTGACTAAATCACATCCATATCAAGTGGCCACACATACTGAGGTTCTGCAGACGTGGAGGCAGGTCTGGAACCAGCAGGTCACAATCTGGCAGTGAAGTAACTGCCGCAGCACTCCCTCCTCCTCCTCCCCCTACCCGCATGATCTCCCAAGGAATGGTCCCTCAGTTCAGCTATAGGTCGACTGAAAGCTGTGACCTCTGGGGTCCTGTCACTGGGCAGTATAAACATGGGGAATCCCTTACCGGTTTGGGGCAGTGGATATATCGAGCGAGGCTGATGATCAAGTCATGAGTGATAGGATCCACTAGATTGCGGAAACTCGCATATCTGCAGAGGACGTCATCCAGTGAAGTCGACTCCATTCCTAAATCCTGTAGCAGAACAGACAAAGAAACAGTGTGACAGTTATATCATCTCATTCCCAAATTTCGGACATTGCAATGAATTTACAGCCATACTTTCTGAAGTGCGGTCTTTGGTGTATTGTGGGAAAAACAGTCGTTGATACATTCACAGCAAGTTCACACAAACTGCAATCATAGAATCGCTGTGGGATTTTAGCTCAGAAACAGGCCACTCAGTCCATTATGTCTGTACTGGCTTTGTGCAAAGCAGCTCAGCCAATCCCATTCCCCCATCTTTCCCCGTAGCCAATCTGTTTTAAACAACGTTGGTCACCCTGTAATTCCGTCTAACAATCACCGCACTCCTTCAATTTTGGCCCGTGTGCATTTTCATTGCCCCACCACTGGCAGTGCAGGTACTTCCTCAGAATACGTTTCTGCCTCAGACTCTGCCCTTTTAAGACATTCTTTTACAACCTACTGAGGGAATGTTGCACTATCAGAGCATCAGTCCCGAAGGAGTGACAGTACTAAGGAGTGCTGCACTGTTAGAACATAAGAAATAGGAGCAGGGGTGGCCCATTCTTCTTAACATCTGCCCTGTCAAGCCTCCCTCAGAATCCTGCATCTTTCAACAAGATCACCCTCATACTTCAAAACTCTAGTGAATACAGGTCGAATCTGTTTAGCTGTTCTCGATGAATCAGCTCCTTCATCCCAGGAATCAGCTGAGTGGATCTCTTTTGAACTGCCTCCAGTGCCAATAGATCCTTTCTTAAAAACTATACACAGTCCAGGCACAGCTCACCAACACCCAGTTCAGTTGTAATAAGACTTCACCCATTTTACAGTCCAACCCTCTGGCAACAAAAGATTAAATTCCATTTCCTTCTCAATTACTTGCTGTATCTGCATGTTAACCTTTTGTGTTTCATGCACAAGAACACCCAGAGCCCTCTGTGCTGCACATTTTTGGAGTCTCTCTCTATTTAACCAGTAGTTTGCCTTTTGGTTCTTCTCACCAAAGTGTGTGACCTCACACTTTCCAGTATTTAATTCCATCTGCAAAGACTTTTCCCTCATCTCAAACTATCTATATCCACTTGTATCCTCATCACTACATGACCCTACCTATTTTTTGTATCATCAGCAAATTTAGATACATTACACTCTGCCCCTCTTGATGTTATGAATATAGACAGTCCTAGCACTGATTCTTGTGGCACTCCACAAGTTATGTCTTTCCAACATAAAAAAGACCCATTAATCTCGATTCTCTGTTTTTCATGTGTTAACCAATCCTCAATCCATGCTCATACCTTACCCCAATACAGTGAGCTCCCATCTTGTGCAATAACCTTTTTCATGGCACCTTATCAAGTGCCTTTTGGAAATTCGAATACATTACATCCATCAGCTCCACTTTATCAACTTGGAATGTTGCATCTTTAAAGAACTTCCTGGCAAATTTGTCAAACATGATTTCCCTTTCACAAAACCATTTGACTCTGACTGTTTTATGCTTTTCTAAATGACCTGCTATTTCTTCCTTAATAATGGATTCCAGCATTTTTCCAATGATAGATGTTAGACTAATTGGCCTGTAGTTTCCTGCTTTCACTCTCCCTTCCTTCTTGAACAAGGCCATCAGATAAGCAGTTTTCCAAACTGCTGGAACCTTCCCCAAATCCAGGAAGGAATATTTTGACCAATACCTCCATTCTCTCTGTAGCCATTTCCTTTAAAGCCCTTGGTTGGAGACCATCACGTCCTGTCAATTATCTGTTATTTGTCCCATTAGTTTGTCAAAAACTTTGTCCTTCATGATAGAGTCTGTTACACAAGCTATCTTTACATTAGCATCTTGCTTATCCAATATCTTTTAAGATAGTTCCACCACCATGAACACTGATGCAAAATATTGCTTTAAAACCATCTGCCATTTCCCTGTTCACTGTTAATCACTTTAGCTACTTTTTTAAAATCTATTCGTAGAAGCACTGCTGTTTGCTTTTATTTTCTTGCCAATTTAGGGTCAGTGCTGAGGGAGCGCCACACTGTCAGAGGGTCAAGGCTGATGGAGCGCCGCACTGTCGGAGGGTCAGTGCTGAGGGAGCCCCGCACTGTCAGAGGGTCAAGGCTGATGGAGCGCCGCACTGTCGGAGGGTCAGTGCTGAGGGAGCGCCGCACTGTCGGAGGGGCAGTGCTGAGGGAGTGCCGCACTGTCGGAGGGTCAGTGCTGAGGGAGCGCGGCACTGTCGGAGGGTCAGTGCTGAGGGAGTGCCGCACTGTCGGAGAGTCAGTGCTGAGGGAGTGCCGCACTGTTGGAGAGTCAGCGCTGAGGGAGCGCCGCACTGTCAGAGGGTCAGTTGAGGGGAGAAACCTCTGCTGAGCTCCTCATTAACTTATTTGTTCATAATTCAACAGTGCAGCTGGTAATTTAGTTCCCAGATCAGAACTCCTGCATAAGCAGGAAATCACAGGAGATGTGTATATATCCCATCTGCTAACTGGCAGAACTGATAATGTTTCTTATGGGACCTCATTAAACGGAGTGCTGGTCCTTGGGTGTGCATTTCTATCTTTTAATTTCCCAGGTGTAGAGTGAAGAAAACATTCAGCCCCAATGCCTGGATCTCAGGAAGGAAAGGCTGGCCTTGAACAGCGTACACCACACATTCAGCCTGGGGCTAAAAGGGTTAAATTGTGAGGACAGGTTGCATAGACTAACTTGTAAATCCTTAAGTCACAAACACTTAATAGTGGTACTTGAAATGATAAAGGCATTTCCTGGGTCACAGAGAGTTCCTATTTTCACTGCAGCTGGTGTCCAGCATCCACAAGGAGGGAGAGAACCTTAAAGTCTGGGTGATGTCGTAAAGCACTTTCTCAAACAAAGAGAAAATGGAACATTGTCCCTGTTACCATCACTGAATCCCCCACTATCAACATCCTGGGGGTTACCATTGACTCAACACTCAACTGGGCTCACCACATTAATACAGCAGCTACAAAAGCAGGTCAGAGATTAGGAAGAGTGCAGCAAGTAACTCACCTCCTGTCTACCATCTACAAGGCACAAGTCAGGACTGTGACAGAACACTCCCCACTTGCCTGGATGAGTGCAGCCCCAACAACACTCAAGAAGTTTGACACCATCCAGGACAAAGCAGCCCGCTTGATTGGCACCACATCCACAAGCATTTACTCCCTCTCCCCACTGACGCTTAGTAGCAGCAGTGTGTACCATCCACATACATGGGAACACCACCAGCTGCAAGTTCCCCCCCGAGCCACTCACCATCCTATCGTCATTCCTTCAGCTTCGCCGGGTCAAAATCTTGGAATTCCCTCCCTAAGGGCATTGTGGGTCAACAGGTGGGCTGCAGCGGTTCAAGAAGGCAGCTCCCCACCACCTGGCAACAAAGCTGACATAGCCAGCAATGTTCACATCCCACAAATGCATTTTTATAAAAGGATCATGATGCTGGGCGCCAATTAAAACATTTAAGACTGAGATGAGTACACATTTATTGGGGTAGGGAGTCAGCAACGTGAAGCAATTACGATGGATAGAGTTGAGATGCAAAAAATCATGGTATAATTGAGTGACCCAACAGGCTCAAAGGACTGAGTGGCCCCGTCCTGCTCCTAAAATATTTATTCATAACTTCGCACGCAGTTGGCAAGTTAACCCACAGTCCATTAGCAACCTCAGTAAATATTACAGCTGAAAGTTTTAGCCTGTTGGTCAAGATGCAGACACTTTCCTGCAATTAACTGCAAATCCTGAGCCAGGAGCTACAACCTGAAGCCTGTCCGTGGGATATCTGCATGCAGAGGTGGGATGGATTTACCGCCATAGGCTAACAGATTACATGAGTTAGTTTAATAGAGTAACAGCTGTATAAATAGGAACGAAATATTCACTGGTATAGGAAAGGGAAAGACAGGGAAGAGAATCCCATGCACGGACACACGGACACACACACACAGAAACACACCCCTACACACTCTCACAGACATTCTCACATGGACACACACCCACACACTGTCACCCACGCACTCTCATATAGACACACCCACACACTCACACACAGACACACACCCACACCCCCACACCCACACAGGCACATACCCATACCCTCTCACATACTCACACCCTCTCATATAGACACACCCACACACTCTCACACAGACATACACCCACACAGGCACATATCCACACACTCTCATATAGACACACCCACACACTCACACACAGACATACACCCACACAGGCACATATCCACACCCTCTCACATAGACACACCCCCACACCCACACACACACTGGTGAATGAACGAGACGAGAGAGATGATTGTAGAATGTATTGGGCGAGACAGTTTTTGTCCATTTCTTACTTGCCATGACTCGTTGCAGTCTGTGAAAATGTGGGATTCAAGACTGAGAAACCCAACCTTACCAAAGCTGAGAGCAAATTGCTTGGGGATAATGCTGCCATGGCTGTTTAAGAGTAAATATCTGTAATTATAATAAATGTGACTCTGATGAAGCATGACTAAGGAGTGTGATAGGAACTGTGATATTTAACACTTGTTATTATCTTCTTACAGCTTCTGTGAAGGGAAATTTCTGTTTCTATCATGCTGTAACATTCTCGGGTAGTGTCAAAGCTTTTTACAGCCTAGTTTTTACATTCATTCAGAGGATGTGGGCATTGGTGGCTGCGCCAGCATTTACTGTCCATCCTGAATTGCCCCTTGAGAAGGTGGTGGTGAGCTGCCTTCTTGAACCCACCTGCTGGGTTGACCCACAATGCCTTTAGGGAGGGAATTCCAGGATTTTGACCCAGCGACAGGGAAGGAACAGCGATATGGTGAGGGGCTCGGAGGGGAACTTGTAAGGGATGGTGTTCCCATGTATCTACTGCCCTTGTCCTTCTAGATGGAAGTGGTCGTGGGTTTGGAAGGTGCTGCCTGAGGATCTTTGGTGAATTTCTGCAGTGCATTTTGTAGATAGTACAC